AAATCTTTCTGAGAACCTAAAATTTAAATTTTATGTTCTCAGAAAACAAAAAAAAATTTTCAGATATTTAACACTGCTCCAGAGTAGCATAGGAGTATAAGCCATTCCATGCTTAGAGCTTCGTATTTGTATTCGTTTTTCGAATAATAATTATCTGAAAAATAATTCGAATAAACAAATCTTATTCGAATAAGCAATTTATTCGAATAAGCGAATTCATTCGAATAATTTTCATTATTCGTCATGTGAAACTTTAGTCATTGGCTGCTTCACACATAGTAACTACATATGATTAGCTGTTTCATATCCAACAACTATAAGTTATTCGAATAAAATAGTAATTATTCGAATTTAGTCATTCGGCGACTATTCGAATAGATATTTGCCAATTTAAATTATTCGAATAAGGAATCCGTAAGCTCTACCGATTCCTTATTCAAATAATATGGGGTCGTCTAAAGCGGAGCAGAATCACGTGACATTTGTCCAATCAAATTATAGAATTTTGATGATCGCCGCGAAGCAAAACAAAATACAAAAAACGGCAGTATAAACCTACTTTGGGTAAGTTAAGTAAAAAATGTAGAGAAAGCAAATTTGCATATATATAACTAGCTAAAACCTAACCCTAATATAAGACGACCCTAATCCTAAAGTTAATTCAAAAAATATATATTATAAGAATCTACTCCGCTTTAGACACTCATTTACCGACTGTCATTTCACCAACATTTTAGCCCGATTTAGGTTAGAGTTTAGCCATTTCTATATTTTCAGTGAAATTATTGTCGGTGAAATAATACGAACCGGGTAGGTGAATATTATTAACTTCACATGAACTAATTTATTTCTATTATCGTTATGCCCAAATCCAAATCAAACGATTTTTATTTCATTCAATTCGTCTCGATGAGACGAATTGAGTGGTATAAAATCGTTCGATTTGGATCACTGAGTCACGAGATATTAGTATTAAAACATAATAGATTAAGTGGTATAAAAATCGTTCGACTTGGATCACTGAGTCACGAGATATTCGTATTAAAACATAATAGATTAAATATTTTATTCAAACATAATTAACCCGTAACGCAGTAATCCAAATCAAACGATTTTTATACCATTCGATTCGTCTCGATTAGATGAATCGAATAGTATAAAAATTATTTGATTTAGATTATTGGTTCACGAGGTATTATAAATTCGCCACAATACACCACTATACCTCATTTATTTTTGCAACATTTAAATACCAATATCTCGTGATCTATCGATCCAAATTTAACCCTTTTAATACCGTTCGATTCATCTCGATGAGACGAATCGAATGGTATAAAAATCGTTCAATTCTGATCGATAGATCATGAGTTATTCCAAGTTTTCTCTTAACTACACCACAATACCCCAATTTACCTTAATTACATATAAAATTATGATTCGTCATGAGTTTCGTCATTCGTCGTTTCATCAACTCGAAGTTGGCTAATGAAAGTTTCGTTATTTGTCTTCAATAACGAAAGTTTCATCATTTGGCATCATTAGTCAGGATTATGTATTTCAGGATTCTGCTGGGCTTCTGTGATGGGAATATCCCTTATATGGCTCGAAGCACGCATTTAATCTACCATAGAAGTTCATCCATCATCATCTGAAAATTCAATGCTTGCCTCTATTTTCGATGTAAGGGTGCTTAACTAACTTTCTATACATTATCTGTTATGAGTTTCGAGGAAGATATGAAAGAAAACGTATAAAAGGGCAATATATAGAAAATATAATTACTGTCTTTTATTAGTGATTTATCTTTTCGGCATTTTTTTCACATTCAAAGCATTTGTTAAAGATGGAAAGTTTTTTCACAACATATACTCCTACCTCGGACATTAATATTGTCACTGTTTTATACAAACGCATAAAAGCAGAGACGACCGAGAAAAAGAAATAAAAAATTTCGAGAAAACGGTTGAAAGACTATTAAATACTATAACTATAGATAATGAGCGTTCAAATATCCTCAGAGAATTTGGAATCGGTAAGGCTTTGAGAAAACGCGTAAATTGTTTCAAACGAAGCTACCTTATAATTAGAAATGATTATTTTATGGTTTTCTTGAACGATCACGGGCGTCGAAATATATAGTAGCATATAATAGTGAAGGGCTACGCCTCCATAACATTTAATTATGCTATGGGTTCGTTAGTAGTAACTATTTATATGCAATAAATACTATGCATGGAAACACCGAGATCATGTATTTTCGCTGAAAAACGAAAACCATCTGATCTATGCAAATATTATATCTGTATTCTCATTCTGATATTTAGCTAATTGAAATATTCTTCATTATTTTTAGGTATCAGATGCCCTTACTTATATAAAGTCCTTAGTATATGTTAAAGCCTTTGTAGATGTCATTGTCTTATTTTTTTGAATTCTTAGTAAATAATCAATTACATATAAAGAAAGTAGAACTGACCTGGGGAATAGATGCAAAAAGTAACTTTGATTCGTTAAAATGTGATGTACATAAGGTTGGTATTCTACTCAAAATTACTATTGTATATCTTTTAAAGATCAATTTTAGTATTATGCTAACACATATCTCAGCTTGTATTATCAAATAATTATGACGAAAAACTCATGTGGAAAGAAGTATATATAGTTAATGGTAGAATTAATGTTATACCTAGTGATGGGCATGCGCGGGATCACGCGCGTAAAATGCGCGTGATTTTTGGATATAAGTCTAGCATCACCAGTCTAAAAAATTAACTGCCCCAGTATCGCCATCAAAATTTTCACCCCCCACGTGATGATCGACCAATAAGAAATTATCAAGTAAGTTAA